CTTGGGAGCTAAGCAGCATCAGCCTTGGTCAGTAATTTGGATGGGAGACCACCACGGAAGCCCAGGGTCGCTTCACAAAGGCAGGCAATGGCAAACCACCGCTGAACGTCTCTTACCTATGGGTTTGCTTTGTCGGCTGCAACTTGATGTCAAGAAGAAAAAGAAAAAGTGGGCACATAATAATGAATAATAAAGGCTGACCTCTTCTTCCTCCCCACTGCAGGCAGCGGAAGGGATTTACCCGATCTGATGGACAGAGGAGTGCTTCCAGAAGCAGCTGTAGCTGGAATTTGCCTACTGTCACAGGATTTAGGTTTTTAAGTGCCAAATTGTGTTAGAGTTATTAAAATAATTTTCTTCATATCACGTTCTTTCGGCATTCGTCAGCTGAAGGTAGCTATCCTAGCTGGGTGTCCTATGAACCACTATGTTTATTTATTATTTCAATTTATATCCTGCCCTTCCTGCGAACGGGCTCAGGGCGGCTCACAACGATAAATACAAACAATCTAAATCAATACAATAAGATAATACACTAAAACCTGTTTAAAATGTAAAGAATTTAAAATATTTAAAGTGGGCGGTAAAGGTAAAGGTTCCCTTGCTCGAAAGCCAGTCGAGTCCGACTCTAGGGTTGCGGTGCTCCTCTTCGTTTCAAAGCCGAAGAGCCAGCGCTTTCCGAAGACGTTTCCGTGGTCATGTGGCCGGCATGACTAAACACCAAGGCGCACGGAACGCTGTTACCTTCCCACCGAAGTGGTACCTATTTATCTACTTGCAATTTCTTGCTTTCGAACTGCTAGGTTGGCAGGAGCTGGAACTAGAGATGGGAGCTCAACTCCATCATGCGGCAACTCGGGTCTCGAACTGCTAAACTACTGACCTTCCACAGCCTGCAGTTCAGCGTCTTAACCACTTGAGCCACCACAGCTCCCTAAAGTGGGCAGTGCAATGCAATTAATTCCAGTTACTACAGCCGGGAAAAAATAAGTGGGCCGACACCGAGCCATGATGGTCCCCTGTAGCAGCAGTAGGGAGGCCAGCTGGTAGATGCCCGCTGCTTCAGCCAAAGGCCTGGAGGAACAGCTCTGTTTTACAGGCCCTGTGAAACTGCAACAGGTCTCGCAGGGCCCTGATCTCAATTAGGAGCATGTTGCACCAGGCAGGGGCCAGGTCCAAAAAGGCCCTGGCCCTGGTTGAGGCTAGACAGGAATCTTTTGGGCCAGGGACAACCAGCAGATGGCTCTCCACAGAGCACAAGTCTCTCTGGGGCGCATATGGGGAGAGGCAGTCCTGTAGATATGTTGGTCCCAGGCCGCATAAGGTTTTAAAGGTCAACACCAGCACCTTGAAGCGGATCCAGTACTCAATTGGCAGCCAGTGCAACTGGCAGAGCACGGGCTGGATGCGCGCCCACACAGATGTCGCAGTCAGCAGGCGCTCCGCTGCATTTTGCACTAGCTGGAGTCTCTGGATCAGCCTCAAGGGTAAGCCTGTGTAGAGCGAGTTACAGTAATTGAGCCTGGAAGTGACCATTTTCTATCTGTTTTCCCCTATTCCTTCTTTTTTTTCCTGTATCCCTTATAATAAAAGGAGCTGCGGTGGCTCAAGTGGTTAAGACGCTGAACTGCAGGCTGTGGAAGGTCAGTAATTCAGCAGTTCAAGACCCGGGTGCCGCAAGACGGGGTGAGCTCCTGTCTCTAGTTCCAGCTCCTGCCAACCTAGCAGTTCGAAAGCAAGAAATTGCAAGTAGATAAATAGGTACCACTTTGGTGGGAAGGTAACAGCGTTCCGTGCGCCTTGGTGTTTAGTCATGCCGGCCACATGACCACGGAAACGTCTTCGGACAGCGCTGGCTCTTCGGCTTTGAAACGGAGAGGAGCACCGCAACCCTAGAGTCGGATTCGACTGGCTTTCGAGCAAGGGAACCTTTACCTTTACCTTTTATAATAAACTTTTTTTAAAAAAGCCTGGAAGTGACCATTACATGGGTTACTGCAGCCAAAATCCTGGGGGGAGAGGTAGGGAGCCAGCGGCCTGGTCTGCTGCAGATGGTTAAAGGTAGACCTAGCAGCTGCAGCGACCTCAGCTTCCATGGAAAGTGAGGCACCCAAGATCACCCCCAGGCTCCTCACCTTCGGGGTTAGCACCAATGGTGCTCCATCCAGGGTAGGGAGCCTAATCCCCAAATCCACTCCCCCCCCCCTGGCTCTGGTACAGAACCTCCACCTTCTCAGGATTTAACTTCCACTAGCTCTGCCACAACCACCCAGCCACTGCCTCTAGTGCACTGTCTAAGCTTTCAGGCCTATACCCCTAGGCCTACAAAGAGAGTGTACCTAGGGAAATGGGATGACATCAACTGCCATCTAGGAATACCTAGAATCTGCTCTCCGTTCCCCAGTTGTGGACTTTGGGGGAGTGGTAGAACACCTGCTTGGCATGCAGAAGGTCCCCGATTCAATCCCCGGCATCTCCAGTTAAAAGAACCATGTAGTAGGTGATGTGAAAGACTTCTGCCTGAGACTCTGGAGAGCCACTGCCAGTCTGACTAGACAACACTGGCCTTGACAGACCAAAGGCCTGATTCAGTAAAAGGCAGCTTCGTATGTGTTGATTTGTTCACACTGAAAAAAATGTCAGCCTTGTGATCTTGCACAAGTTCATCAAAGGACCTATTATGGGGAAATCTAGTAAAGATCAGCTGAACTGCCCTCTTAATACTACAGTAAAAAAATCAGATGAAACTAAATGAAACACAGTGGCGCGCTGAAACTGACAAGATGGCAAATGCAACGGGGGGAAAGCCACCATAGGCGGTTAATGATGACTTGACATCTTTCTCAGAAGGAATTTAAAATGCATCATGAAAAGCTTACATCTAAATTTTAAAAACAAACACAAAGGATAGCATTTGCACTGCACTTGCGAAAAGCTGCCAAGACTCTACAAATATTCAGTGCAGGTAGGTTATGACTCTCCCATTGGCTCTACATAAAGCAGAACTGATTTAACGGAAGGTTTGGAATATTGCTCCCAGGGGAATAACTTCAGTTTTAGACATCTTTCATAGAAAGATGGTTGATGCAGCTATGGGGCTTTGAGGATTTCTGAAAAAGGTAGGAGCATCAATAAGAAGATAGGTTCTTGCCTGTGAGGCTTCACTGGAGAGACTATATTTTAAGAGAACAGAGGAAGAAAGGGTCCTGAACTAGTTGGCCCTGGCTAGTCCGATTCTGTCAGATTTCAGAAGCCAAGCAGGGTCAGCCCTCGTTAGTACATGTATGGGAGACTACCAAGGAAGTCCAAGGTTGCTACGTGGAAGCAGGCAACGGCAAGCCACTTCTGTACATCTCTTGCCTTGAAAACCCCACAGGGTCGCCATAAGTTGCCTGCGACTTGATGGCACTTTCCACTGCCATGAACAAAATTTGTATCCGGGTACTGGATGGTGAGGAGCTGCGGAAGGTCAGTAGTTCAGCAGTTCAAGACCCGGGTGCCGCATGATGGAGTGAGCTCCCATCTCTAGTTCCAGCTCCTGCCAACCTAGCAGTTTGAAAGCAAGAAATTGCAAGTAGATAAATAGGTACCACTTCAGTGAGAAGGTAACAGCGTTCCATGCGCCTTGGTGTTTAGTCATGCCGGCCACATGACCACGGAAACGTCTTCGGCTTTGAAACGGAGATGAGCACCGCAACCCTAGAGTCGGATTCGACCGGCTTTCAAGCAAGGGAACCTTTACCTTTACTGGATGGTGACTTTGGAGGATACACCCTCCCTTGCCCTTGAGAGGCTGCGAGCTATTTGGAGCGGACTAGTCCCTTTCTCCTGCTCAGCCTATTCTTTAGTACATACTGGTTGCTAGGCAATAGATTCCAGCTATTTGCACAGATCAAAAGACAGTCTGCAATAGAGCAAAGCACTGACCAATATGAAAAGTCAAACTTCAAGGCCACACCATCAGTTAAAGGCTATTACATAAACTGATTGGCTACTGCAGCAACAAAAGGCTAAAGCACAGTCAACTGATGATCCTACAGATGTCCACCCATGCATTTTGACTTTAAATAAGCAGTGATTAGAATTTCAAGGCTGCCTTTCAAATACTTCTTTGCATCATGGGAATTTTTTTTGTATGTGAGACAAAGCTCATTTCATTATATTGCACACTGCGGTATTCAAAATGCCTACAATGGAAACTCCTTCAAAGTGAAACTGTACTGGCACAAAACACTTTGAAGATTGGCTAGATTAGAGAAAGCGCAGCAATCTCTCTTCGTCAGTCGTCCTACCCAGCAGAGCAAGCAGCTACCTCCCTTTCCAAAGTTTGGGGGGGGGGGGGAGATGACATTGTCCCAAACATAAAAGCAAAGCCGGGATGCACAATATATTGTATGAGATATAATGCTGGTTGATAAACTATGCTTCTGTTTCATGATTAATCACATTTTCTTTCTCAACTGTATTTACAACTAGCAGCAGTTTCCCTTCCTGTGGCATGTGAACAGAACAGGCACATTTCAAGCCCAAACTCAAGAAAAAGTAGGGGTGGAGGAAGAATACACTATTGTTTGGCTATGCTTCTACTAGAAAAAAACAGCTTACAGCTGTAAGCATACATTTGTGCCAGCCACCCCAGAAAGCTAGAAATTGAATGTTTGTCCCTGGTCCTGATACGCACAACAGAAGTTACTTAATTTCTAGTCCACCTTATTCATCCCTTCTCTATCCCACTTATAACTCCACTCCCTCTATACCTCTCACCTGTTGGGATGTGAGTTGGGAAGTGTACAATATCAAGAACAGTATTTGTACTCTAGTACTTTGCACTTAAAAAGTAACATGTTTGAATGCCGTCACCATTGCCGATGGAGAGTTACTACGGCAGACCCAGGGGTTTTAGCCTCAGCCTTCTTGCTAAGGTGCCAGCTTTCTCTTTGCACGGTGTTTATAGTTTGCCACAGCATCAAAAAGTATAAAGACAGCCATTTCCATGAGGTATCATAGGTTTATTTCTTTGAAGCCATATACTTTTATTAAGCATTAGAAATCCACATACAAAACCAAACTCCTGCTCCGCATATAATAAAAACAAAAACTGTCATTCCAAAAGGAGGTGCTGTGCTTAAATTTCTTCTATTAAGATACAATCCATGCCCAATAAATTCTACGTTGCTGAAAATTAAAATTAATGCATTACCGCCACTGAGATTGTGTCTTTGGGAAACACGGTTTTTTAAAGGTTTATTTTTTTAAAATAATTTTTGTCATGAAAGATAACACCACCAACTTGAAAAGGGGGTAAACAATCATTACACAAGGCAAAAAGGTTACTCGATCAATTCAAAACTTTTATAAAGAGACGTGGAAAAGTACCTAAAATAGTTTCTTCTTGTATAAAATTTCAGTAATAAAATATTGCTTGCAATAAATAAGAAATGTGAATTTCATGAACACTGATTTTCTCCATTTTCTTGGTACCTAAAAACTATTTCATCTGTCAATCTCCCAGATTATTAACAAAAAGATGTCTGACCATTTTATTTTGTCATCAGTGACTGGAAGGAATGTTGCTAATTGTGGGAGATTTTGACGACTTCCAGAGTCAAAACTAATATTGAGATTTTTTTTAAAAAGGAACACTATATGTAACTTCCTTTGCATCTTATAATATAGACAAGCTTATGAGTCTCCCCAAATGTTGCTTAAGTGCACACAACTCGGGTCAAGGCAGAGGGTAAATGCAAGCTGAGGTGCTGTTATATGGATATATTGGATTTCATTGCTGCCCGTCCCATCTGCAGACATGGTAATTTGGAACAGTTCTTGAGCAGCTGTTCAATGGCGATGTGACGAACATTAAGCTGTGAAGCCAAGGAGTCTTTTTCTTGCACTTGCCGAGTTAGCTCTTCAAACACATCTGAAAGAAGTTTTGGCATCAAGTTAAGCAACTGTTTCCAAGGGTGCATAAAATGAGAGTTGAAACAGGTAGTTTGATTTGCTTTATTCAATAGTTGCCATATGTGACGTGTGTGGAGAGAATACTTGTTAAGCTTAACACATAAGGACACTAATCAGTTCTCAAAAGTGCTTTCAGAGGGTAGCCATATTGGTTGGTGGTAGAACAGCTAGATTCCGGTCCAGTAGCATGTTAGAGACCAACAAGATTTTTGGGGTATAACATTTCAAGAGTCAAAGCTCCCTTCATTAGATCAACTCTTGAACGCTTATACATTGACAAGCAATCTTATTGGTTTATAAGGTACTACTAGACCTTAATCTAGATGTTCAGAAATGCTGATTCTGACCGGAACATTTAGAAACTAATCAAAATCTTTGTTTTTGTAAACACTGTATGTGGCAATGATCCCCAAAAGTCCCACCTCTCCTCCAGGGCTCTGAACCAATCCCTGTGATTTCTGCCCCATTCAAATCCAGGTGTCTGTCAGCCAATCAGAGTCCATGGAACTCCACTGGATAAGAGCAAGTGAGCTAGCCTCAACTTAAGAAGGGGAAGGAAAAATTTATTCCTCAAACTGGGGATTTCGTGGCTCTGGATAAGAGCATTAACCAAGTTTTTGTTTGGCTTTTACCTAGGGTTTGGGGTTGGCTTAGGGAAGAAAGCTTGTTTGAGTGAGGCAAATAAGAATCCTGTTAAGGGCCCCAACATTCCTAACTTACACGTGGAGAGGAGCTTTGTGTGTTAAAAGAGCGATCTTGAACCTGGAGAAGATGGAGATAGTTTCCAGTGAAACCTAGTCAGCTGAGGTAAGCTGCCTGGAGAAAAGGGAATCAAATCTCCCTTCAGGGTTTATTTATGTTACTTGAAGCTCAGTTACAAAGTAGTTACTCTCACTGGGGGAAAGTTTGCAACCTATGGAAGTGAAGATGAGAGCCAATTTTACTTTGTATACTGAAGCAATCCACACAAAAGATTTACCCTATTAAATACTTTATTCTACTTGCTTCATAAATAATTACAGCCTTGGACTAAGGTTCCAAAATAAGAAACTTCTAGGAGCACATAGCTTACACGCTACCAAGCCTTTAATCAAAGCTTGTGTCCCTCCTTTTGACTGTGGGTGGCTGGGGTTTAAAGAATCCACACAAGAGGTCAGAGTGAGGGACTGGACAGTCCAGTGGTTTAGCTCAGAGTTTCCCCCCCTGCCCCCTGTAGCTGCCACACCATATAATGCAGCTTTCTCTCACCTTGTATTTGCTTGAGGACTTTCTCACTCAGTTGCTGCACCTCTGCAAGAGTCATCATACTCACTGAAACATGAAAATAAAACAGATCAGAGTTAGGTATCATAGGAGTGAGGGAAAGGAAAGGCATCTTACAAACACAAAGGTAAACATTCCCTTTAACTACTTTTATTCGCATGTCAGTATCAAACCACTGTGTAAAGTGTAATAAATTAATAAACTGCATAGTCATCCTTCCACTGTTGGGGTGTCCCCTCTTTCTAGTGAAAAACTGGAACACTGGAAAATACTATCTAATTTCAAAGCTTTATGAAAATGTCAAACTGCCGGTAATGCAACGTGACATCCTACCACAGTCTGGACATTTTTGTATTTCCCTCTAAAGGGGTTTCCTACTTTCAGGCCACTACTGTTGAAAAGGGTTATAAGGACAAAAAGCTATAGTTCAGCTGAAACTGAATGTAAATTAACTCCTGAACTCCTACCACAAGCATACTCTACTAGAGAATCTTGCCTTAGCTGGCAGATTTGCAATAAAGGAATGCAAAACCTGTACCTGACATTTTCAAACTAAATACATGCAAAAAACATACATATTTAGTTCAAAGTGGATTCTACACTCACAATATGGTGGATCAAATAAAACAGGAATGTAGTGGCACCTTAGACTAAAACAGATGTGACTGATGGATATCTACGATGAAGTGTTACTGGTTAAAATGAAGCATTACTGGTTCAAATTTGGAAGATCTCAATTCTATTTAGTGTGAATCACTAGAGTGGATATGCTTATTTGAAACAAACTTGAAAACAACAAGAGTTATCCAATTTTAGGTGGCACATCTTGCTAATTCACTTATTGAACCTTGATAAATCCTGGTGACTGTGTGGCAGTGTAAAATTTATTTCATTCTGTTTTCAGTACCTCTCAAACAACTAACTAAGTTCAGCTGGTGAAGATTATGAACTGACCTTTGTTAAATCACATGGAACAAAAATAATCACCACTTCTACTTACATTGCTCCCTGCTGTACTGGGGACTTCTTCGAATGCAGGTGTTTGGGTCAGTTTTAGCTTTTTCCACCTCTGATGTTTGGTTATGACTAGACCACAACGTACCACTGCAACAAAATGTAGCACCTGCTTGTTGCAACATGTCAAGTCTAAAATCACTGGATTCTCTTGGTTCCAAAATACTTTGTGAACAGTTTGAAATACTCCCAGAATTCCCATCTATCCATTTGGCGGAGTATTTAGGAACCTGGGAATCAAACTGAGGAAGTAGCTTTCTCTCTCTCTGATGTCTGAAGCTAAAGAGATGGTGCTGTGTTTGCTTGGAACTTTCAGAATCCAAATCCAAATCTTTGTTTTGTGCATACTGTATAATCCAGTTAATTTTTTTGCTTAAGATATTTTTTACTTCTGCATAAGTGCTTTTGGAGAGTTTTGACCGTGGACAACTCTGGTTTGCTATTAAGTGGAATTTCTCGAAGCAGTCTCTGTGTCCTCTTAATGATCTTGTATGCAGAAGATCAGACTTTGGTATTCCTGGGAAAAGAAAAAAATGGCAAAAATGTACAGGTTAATGTCCAGCAAAAATTATATTAGGGCTATTTTGAAACCTCAGAGAAAGCAATTAGGGGCCACCTTTTATGAAAATCTACAGAAAAGCTGTAGTGCAAGAAACAAACTGAGTATCAAAAACTTGTTGCTGGATTTCCTACTGACTTTAATGCTCTTTACAGTTTCAAGAAAGTTGCACTTTAATGCTCTTTACAGTTTCAAGAAAGTTGCACTTGTGATCTTGCTAAGTGACAACAATATCCTTATTAAGAAGCAGACTTCCAAAACTATATTGAGAACGGTACTTTCCAATAATGAACTGTTCTACTGTATCCAAAAAATGATTGGTTGCATGTGTGAGAACCAATTTCGCAGATTGCAACTACCAAGCACAGGAGGGTTACACACAAGATATTCTTGTGGTTTCAGATGACTGGGAGAAACATGATAGCCATTAATGCTTACCACGTTATCTGTTACTACTAGGGGTTTGCAACTTTTTATAATTTGGTATTTTTCGGTTTGGGTCTACTGGACCCCCCCAAAATTTGGTATTTCTGAAAAATCCCAGGTCCTAATACTGGTATGGTATTCAAATCCGGGATTTTCTGGAAATCCAGAATTTTTTTAGGTCCAATAAACCTAAGAAATTAAAAAAACCCACCCTGATCCTGGGACTGGCCTAGCTTCTCCTGCAGCCTGGTTTAAACTGCGCTGCAGGAGAAGCCAGCTCCAGGATCTGCGTGCCACAGGGAGATTGCTCCCCAAGGCATGCAGATCCTGGCTGAGATAGCTTCTCCTGCAGCATGGTTTAAACCATGCTGCAGAAGGAGCCAGACCTAGGATCCATGTGCCTTGGGGAGATCACTCCTTGAAGCACGTAGATCCTGGCTGGGACAGCTTCTCCTGCAGCATGGTTTAAATAGTCCCAGCCGATCTTGAGCCTCAAGCTGTCTTCTGTGGTCCCTTTAATCTTTAAAGGGACTGCAGTAGAAGCCTGACAAACAGCTGAGAGACGGGAGCAATCTGCTCTTGCCTCTCCTCTGTTTTCGGATATACCATTAACTCCCTAATATATCCGAGATATTTTCAGGGTCCCCCCCCCCCCCGAGAGAACCCGGATACATTTGGGAGGCCAAAATATACCCAAAAAATACCAATAAGGTCTTTTTCAAGTATATTTTCAGTTTGGGTAGACACGAATGCACACCCCTAGTTACTACATAAACAGGATATTGTAAATTTTCTGATCATGCAGTTCATTTTTACTGTAGAAGCTCGGAAATCTGGAACGATGACAGTTTGGGAATTAACCATGCAGTGAAAGGGTTGGCAACCCCCCAACATGTGTGACAAACTACAGCATGCCAGAGTGTTTTGCTCAGAGGTCAAGAACTCTCCCTGTTGATCTCCTCAGCACAGATATTGACAGATTTGCTATCTGAGTATGACAGTTCCCTTTGGCTATTAGCACGGTAAGTATTGTTGGACGTCCTCCAAGAATTTGTCTAAGCCCCTTTTAAAGCCATATAAGTTTGTGATCAACACTACATCCTAAATTCTACAAGTTGGTTGGCTGTCGAGTGATGTAGTACTTCCTTATGCCTGACCTGGTCCCCTTGTTGCCCATTCTTGTATTATTTTACCTTTTGTTTTCTCGTTTCTATCACACAGTTGCATGATATGCTACAGCAAGTGCTCCTTGTTCTTAGTGGGCATGAGGAGAACTATGTGGTGTTATACCTGACTGGATGCTTCCAAAAATTTCAAAGAATGGTTAACATAAGAGAACCCAACCTAAGCAGAGTTTTTGAACAATTCTGTATTTTAGATGTTGCCTCCTCTTGCTTTCATTTCATAGACCATGAATAGCAGAGCTGCAGATGGATAACGGTCTTGCACTACATTAACTGCCAATTCAATGTCAGTTTTTAATCGCATCCATCTGTTTGCCTAGAAACTGGTGTTTTAAAAAAAAAATCTGTATTGACATTGCTGGTAAGAAAGGCACAAAAATGAAACTGTCAGAATGCTATCCCCACACTTTTAGGTTCAAATGGAAAGCTCTGTAAATTATGGGTTGAAAATAAAAGCTGCTCTTCAAGATGCTTTCAAGGACCGCATGGTCCATTATTAGAAAATATGTTCCCTGAAATGTTCCACACAAACCTCACACTCACTCAAGACTGCCAACCATTTGTACTATCTTCTACTTTGCATCCGTCTGAGGTAGCCTTGGCTTGGATCCCAATTAGCATTGTTATAGGTACAAAGACTTCCGCCTGTTGAGTGCAACATATTGCCCCACCCACCCCCACACAGGTGGGAAAATCATACTCCATGGGCATAACTTACACTTGTGGAACAGACTAGTTTGGATCCATGAGTCATTTGGGCCACTCTAATATTGCAATATGGAAGTCTTTTGCTGGTTTGGAAACTGGAGCTTGAGATGCCAGTGTTCACGCATCCCTAAATAGACCTGTGACTATGACAGGTACATCCATTGTAAACTGGGTCACGCAGTACACAGAATAAAATACACTATGCTCCATGAGGGTGCAAGTACATGATTCTTCCGTAGGTAGAAATGTGTTACTATTTTAACTAGAAGGATACAGCAGCTGTTTTGCTCAACTATGCAAATTGGTTCTTTCATCTTGTGATGCTGAACCTGAAGGCCATGTGCAGAACAGAAATCTGGTGTCCTTTTGCAGTCCTATTAAGGTTTAGTTATCTTACATACATCTACAATCCAGAAAAGTGGACAAGATTGACATTCTGGATCCAGTGTAAATGTCTGTGGGTAAAACATAACTCTCTCCTCTGAGTGCAAAAAATGGTGTTGAATTGCTGCTCCAGGGGGCAGGGAACCCCAAAGAACAGTATGGGGAGGTTAGGTCTATAGCACAAGAGAGGAATGGGTGAAAACCACCTCCCTTCTGCCTTCAGGAATCCTCTATGAGATCCAACCCTTTCATCGTCAAATTCTAGTTAAGAGTGCTTAAAAAGTTCAAAATTGGTAGCTAAATGTTAGATCCCTCAGGGCAATGGAATTAATTCTAAGGACAGATTAACTTTAATGAGAAAAATGATGGTATAGTTTAATTTCCCCAAATACTATCATTCTCCCCTCAAGCTCAAACCAACATTTATATACTTATGAAAGGGGAGATCGACTGATGGATTGCTTTACCTTTGAGAGAGAACTGGAGCTGAGTAGTACAGAGGGCGACCAAAATGATTAGGGGGTTGCAGCACCTTTCCTATGAGGAAAGGCTAAGATTCTGAGACTTTTCAGTTTAGAAAAGAGACAACTAAGGGAAGTTTATCAAATTATGCATGGGGTGAAGAGTTGACAAAGAGAAATTTTTCTCTTTCCCAAAATACTAGAACTTGAGCACATCCAATGAAGCTGATAGGCAGTAGATTCAGGAAAGACAAAAGGGAATACTTCTTTACACAGAGAGTGATTAAGATGTGGAATTCGCCACCAGAGGATGTAGTAATGGCCATAGGAACAAACAGTTTTAAAAAGGGATTAGATAGATTCATGGAGGATAAATCTATCAATGGCTACTAGCCATGGTGACTGAGGGAAGCTTCCACATTCAGAGGCACTAAGCCTCTAAATCCCAGTGCAAGGAGGCAACATCAGGGGAAGGCCTCATCATCTATGCCCTGGTTGGCCACTATGTGAGAACAGATGCTGGGCTAGATGGACCCTCACTGGTCTGATCCAGCAGGGCTCTTCTTATGTTCTTATGAAGTCACACCCTCTGCACTGCACAGCTAACGCTCTCACTTTTATTTATTAGATTATTATCCCGACCTTCCCTGCTTGCAGGGCTCAGTGTGGCTCACAACAATTAAAAACACAGATAAAACAAAAACATTCTACAGTTCTACCATTTACTCATTAAGTACAACCAAGATGGCCCATAAACCTAGGAGTATGCTCCTAGAAAAGTGCAAGTTACAGCGCTCTTGCCTGGGTTTACTGTGTAGAGCCCAGGGCGTTCACACTGTAGCTGGTTAAAAGCTCTATCCAGCAAGGGACACAATCCAGTCATATCCCTGGACTAGTACTGGCCTATGAACAGACTAAGACATCGACTGTGGCTCATCACTAATTAGCTTCTGGACTGCTATTATAGCTTTAGTTTTGGCAGTGAGTTAAGTACTTTACATTTTCTAGTTGTACCAGTAGTTGCTTTTAAGTGGGATAGGATGTTTTGTAACGGTACCATTTTGGTATAGGTGAGAGCTGTGAGTTCTGAAACATGGCCGGTGAGACATAACCAAACTCACCACTTACCTAACCTCCATCCCATCCCAAGAGATGCTAGTGTAAGGAACCCTACTACCTCTGCTTCTTCGCTATTATGTAACATGAGACTGGTGAGAAATAAAACCGCACTCACTTGGGTTGCTAAAGGAAACGAAAACAGACCTGGCTTATATGACTGAGACATGATTAGAAGAAGGTGGATGTGTCTGTCTTAAGTTACCTCCACCTGGTTATGAGGTTCTTCATCAACCCTGAACAGGAGAACTGGGGTAGCTATCATCCTCCATGACTCTTTCCCATTCTCAGATTCCCAGTGCAAACTATTGCTAGAACTGTTTCTTGTATTAGATTCCAGGCACAGACTGGACATTTTACCACTTACTTACCCACCGGGCACCCCGTCTGACGCATCAGAAGTACTTTGGGGCTTAAGATACCTACACTATAGATTCTGGGAGATTTCAACATTCATGCTGAGGGCATCGTGTTGGGACCTACTCAGGATTTCACAGGTCTTTTGGCCACTCTGAGTTTATCGCAGGTTGTGATGGGGCCCACACATAAAGGACACACCTTAGACAATTTTTTTGCATTGAAACTTTGGGGGCAGGACTGGTTTGTGGGTTGGAGGTTCAGCATGCACTGTGGTCTGACCACTGTCTCAAGGCATGGATTAATTTAGTAATGACACTCTGTGGGAAGCCAGTTAAAAATGGTCAGTTCATGGAGGATTATGGATCCAACTGGATTCTGGAATGCCATGGAATGGGAACTTGGAATGAGAAGGTTCTGGAAGTTATTGACACAGTTGGTAGAAAACTCAAATTGAATCGGACAGTGTCTGCCACAGAGTTCACTGTAATACCTCTGAGTTGGCACAGACCATGGCAAAGAAATCTTACATCGCCGCCACCATTACATAAGCTATTTTGTACCCAGATCAGCTGCTTAAGATTTTCCAACACTTATTGACTCTTAAGTCTGAGTCTTTAAATTCTTACAAACTGACACTTTAATAAAGTTTTTTTTGCTGGGAAACTCTCTTAAATATCTTTCAATTTTATTGCTGGTTGTAATACAGCTGAGATACTATAAGTGTCCAGGGTACTGTGTGGTCCATATATGGAGCATTTCGATACAACCATGATGGATGTCAACAGGTTCTTGGGAAGGGCACCAATTATACTTGATCCTTGTCCAACCTGGTTGCTGAAATCATGTAAGGATCACATAAACCAGTCCCAGATGCCCATCATAAATCAATAGCTCAGGGTACCTTTCCTTGGTCACTAAAACTGACAGTCATCCACTTAAAAAACATTGCTTTAGAAGAATTAGATGGCCAATGATTTCCCAGTCTCTAATTTGCCATTTCTGGACAAGATAATAGAGAGCAGTGGTAGAACAGTTCCAGGACTGATGCATCTGCTCTAAACCCCTTTTAGTCTAGTCTGTGGCCAAGCTATGGGATGGAGACAGCGCTAGTGACTTTAACTTATGATCTCTATTTGAATGTAAACAAGTGACACCACCTTTGTTGCTCTTACTTGATTTATCAGCAGGCTCTGATACTGTGGCCTTGCCACACTGCTGAAGCATTTGGAGGTAGAAGTAGGAATTAAGGGACATGTTTTGGATTGATGTAAACTGTTCTTTATGGCTGGGAGGGCGGGGTATAAATATAATAAATAAATAAATTTATGGACAAGGCTCAGAGAGTTGCTGTTTGAGACCAGCTGGGATCAGTGATGGATGTGTCTTGAGGGGTTCCACAAATCTAAAAAAAAAACCCTCCTCTTTAGCCTCTATGTAAAGTTTTTTTTGGAAAAAATAATTTGTGATTTCAAAGTAGGCTCTCATCTATTTGCCAACGACAGCCTGCTTTATACCTCTTTATCCAATTCACCCAGTGCAGCTGTAGAGGTCCTGAGACACTGTCTGGCTGCTGGGGGCAAAGGTCTGACTGTAAACAAGCTGAAACTGAATCCTGACAAGACACAAGTGCTGCTGGTTGGGAGGAATGAGGTCTGGAAGGACACGCAGTGTTCCCTCTAATCTGTGCCTGTGAGAGGCTGCTCATTAACACAGGAAGCCCCGCTCAACAGCAATCTGGAGCCCTGCAGGGTCTTGCACTGCCCATTGCCCATTTTAAGATCATAGCAGTTATATTCTGCTCAGGATGTGAACTGCTCTGCTCAGGAGGGGGGAAAAGTTAGAGGGAGCGTTGACACTGAGCTTCCCACATTTGATGGGGGCCCAGCTGACACTCACTGATGCAGTTAAATGCCTAGGGGTTATACAGGACTCAACGCTATTAAAAGAGAAGCAAGTTAACACATGGTTTGCTCGCTTCACTCCAAACCAGGGTGTGGAATCCTGATTTGCAGGCAAGCTAACAAGCCATAGCCTGCAAACTGAATGAAATTGCAAATACAAATTAAGTTCATTTTTGAGCTATGTGCAAGAGTGGGGTGAGGCCACTTTTCAAGGCTTGTTCTTGTAACAACACACACGAGTCTGTTGTTTGCCAAGCACGGCTGTGCTTCTGATCACCCTTCATATAAGATTTAAATAAAAACGCTCTAAGGAATTTCCTGTCCCAGCTTCATGTATCTATTTTCTTGGCTGTACAAACAAGATATTTAAAAGAAAGTGGATACATGCAGAGGAAACCAGAACTACCCTTGAATTATCCCCGATTTATAACAAGCATTTCAGAACAGTTCCCTCCCACGTTTTCTGTAACCTTCCACAACTGACAATCTGATTGTACGCATTAGCTTTTGTATCCAGCTCATGTTTCTCTTACACAACATATGCTGGGCTTGTTTTCTCTTCATGTGCAAATCTCCACTCATCCGAGTTTTCTAACAGCTGGGCATGTTCAGAGAACAAAGAGCAAACAGACAGAAATGCAGGTCCACTGCTATAGCTCACCAACTGTAACCTCTTTTATGTCTCTCCTCTTCTCAATTTAAGAATGCTGTTTTAGGCTTTCATGTCCGGGGAGCATGTAAATAGTGACTACAGTGCTGCAATTATTTATGTTCATGCAAGTCAATGGGACAATTTCTAGTACGTGTATTAATCAGGGGTTGTTGTTTTTTTTTTAAAAAAAAATGAAATGTATCCTTCAGTCAATGAGGAAAATTAATGTTGCAACTAACTGTTCTTGCTGTAAAATGAATGGGCAAACTGATCAAATGCTCTAAATAATTTTGTGCTTGGAAGAACATAGGATATTTAACTCTGCAGTCCTAATTCTACTGCACTGTTTGTTGGATGTCTTAGGCTGTCTGATTACATTGTTTTATATGGCGTGATCTGCCTTGAGTCTCAATGAGAATGGTGGGCTATAAAAACAGTAAATAAAATTAGATGATTAAAAACAAAGACTACAGAATTACTGGTCTAGAAAGATAACAGGACAACAAAACACATGAAGTTCAGTTCATTGTCCTGTTAGGGCACAATACCAAGGTAAGAAAGTCCATATAAGTAAATTTGGGGTAAAAGCCATGGATAAAATGCAACCTTTCCAGTGATTTGCTCTGTACTGCATTGTTTGGTTTTGGTCCTTCCCCCATTTTTTTGGTGATGCCTGAATGGAGCCAAAGTTTCTTCCACTAGTTAACGTATGGAACTTTTAACATACAGTCCATTTACTTCATACCAATGAGATGCAGAAGAACACTAAAGTCATCTATGCAGGACAGACAGGGCCTGTATGTACTAAGGTAAATTACAAAAGCAGCATGAGATGGGATTTACAGCCAGTACAATTGCAGCAATATATTATTGTTCATACTTTGCTGAGACCCTTGGCAAATGTTGTGGGCTTCCACATATTTTGGAATAAGCCACACTAATTTAGCTAGGTTATACACTCCACACACAAATAATAGAAGTGTAAATTGTTCAAGCAAACCATAAGGGGAACCCAGTCCAGGAGATGGTCCTGAATAAACAATGGCTTGCAATCACACAGCGTAAAGGCAAAATAATATATGGGTTAATCTAGCAATCCAGACAATCAGACCAGAGCCAGAAGTTTTGGTAATCGATTACAGGCCTCCCAAACCCCTGGCACAACTGCAGTGTACTTTTTACCGGCCCCCAACTCAGAGCAGTATTTTATTCTCATGAGAGGCAGGGGGAGAGTGAAAGACTTCACCCTCTTCAATGCCACATATAGTGAAATTCATATGACTGTGGAGATTTTGGGACAGGCATCCCCTGTCCAAGCTTAACATTCTCATCAATGTACTACAATGCCAAGACCACGGCCATACAGCCTGGAAAATCTACAACTGATGCATCATATCTTCACAGAGCCAGGTTGGATACAGATCAGAGAGTTTTCAACATGAAAAAACATTAGAACATTACCAGGATATAGACGAGCGGAGTTTTTGATGCGCTCTTGATATTCAGGTGCTCTATATACTGTGGAGAAATGGAACAGATCCTATAACTTGGTTCCACTAGTGGCCAAGCCTTCTCCCTAGCAGAACATATTGTTCTGCTCACAGTGGAAACCTTCTGATAACAGAGCGAGAAATGAGACCCATCCCAGTAACCTTTTGCACACTTTCAGCCAAAGATGTGAAATACTGCTTTAGGGCAGGTATTTAACACACTTGTAATAAAATAATGTGTACCTTAGGCACAGTATGATTGTGTTTTATTTAGGCACTTTAGATCACTGAGCTGAATAATCCACAAGACATAGAAACATTCAAATTATCATTTGAGGTGGGGGAAATGAGAATTTTCATCCACTCATGTATCATAGCTATCATTTCACCTGGCAACCAGAGCACATCTTTCCTTCTAGTCAATGAACCATTTCCCTTCTCAAAATCTAGTTTGTAGATCCTCTCAATCTAGGACCCTCCAAAGCAGAAATTCACAAATCTACTTGCTGCATACTCTTGTCCTGCTGGTAAGCAGGGTGCCGAGCAGCTTTTATGTCCTCTCCTAAGATGTCAAACATTGTCCTTTGGAGAAAGCTAAGAAACTGTAGAAGTCTTTCTGCTGCAGATGTGTACTCTTGCTATACCTTAGGGAAATTCTTGTTTCTGCGCCTCCTAAGACATAGGGAAATGAAAACATAAATAAGAGGCTGGGCAGCAAGCCAGGCCAATATTAGTGATCCCCCTACTGAAAGGCCCAGTATTAAATACTGAACTGCACTTACCTTCAATGTTCAGCTCAAAACAAATGTGGCAGAATGAGAGAGTCTCTCTTTCCGTTCCTAATTTGCATATGCTGCAAACATTATCATCATTCAAGTCAATGTTAACAAACTGCTCTTCACTCATAGTGTCCCTAAAAAAGAAAATGTTATCCTGTTACTAATATAGCTTAAAGAAAGCTATATTACAGCACCTCCATATTACCATGAGCCTAAATGGCAGAAAAGTACCCTTCAGGTGTCTTTTTACAGGTGAGCAAGCTTGGATTCAGTATTTTCCTATACCATTGATTTAAGATTGAAATCTGACCTCTAGACATCGCTTTGTTATATTACAATTATATAAAGATAGGACCACAGTGTTCTCCAATCCACATCCAGATGGTTTTCTTTGACCTACATACTTTTACATTTACTATGCAAGTATTACATATTATGTCCAGAAACTCTTTATGAAAGGGAAACAAACTTACATTTTCCTGCGAACAATTATAATTGCTACTAAGGGTTTAGAAGGTATGTGCCAGTTCAGTTTGGAAATCACAGCACTTTGCAGATGTTTATCTGGTTAGCAATTCTTCAGCCAGTATCAGATCTCCCAAATCTAGCACAATAGGTATAAGGCTTCAATTTCATTTGTATCCCACATCCTCTTTAAGCAACACCCAGGATACACATTGGTTTACTAAGAAGCAGCCATGCCAAATCAAGTAAAGCAATGTTTTGATTTATTTGGCTGGAGAGATAAAGTAGTAAGCTACTAATGAGATCTCCAACTCCTGTTTCAGCTGGCATAAAAAGTTGAAGATGCTGTAAGCTTTTCTCCAGCCTAGCACAGGTTCATTAGCTTTCTTCAAGCATCCATCAACACTGGAAAAACTGAACTGCTCCCTTTAAAGATCACAGAAGCTACAAGCAGGATTGTAGCCTTTCTATAGAGAGGACTAAAGAATCAGTAATTCAGATAATATTTTTTGCTGGCCAGATAGTCAAATGTTCCAGGCCCCAAACCATGCTATGACCTAGGTAAGGTAGCCCGTTTTTATAGTAAAGACAAAAATATATCTACCAGCAGAAGACTAAACTATGTGTGTGACAGCACGCAGCACCTAGATTAGAATCCATACCCTGGTGACTCAGGTCCAGCTAGTTTTGAACTTTTAGGGACAATGTCAAGCCCCCTTAAGCATCCTCAAACAAGAATATTTTGTCCCCATGGTAAAACCAAGATGGAATTACCTTCCCTGTCAGTTTCAAAAACAGCAGGCATCAATACAACTGGAAGTCAAGAACTTGCTGTCAGAAGCCAAGCCTATGGACATATCAAGGCAAATGTATGCAGCGTGTGGTGAGACACACTCTTCACTACTATACAGGTTTGAGTAATCTTTTTTCCACTGTTTTACAATAGCCTCGCCTTGTAAATTCTTTTCCTTCTACTTCCTTTGTTTCTCTTGCTTGAACTGTAAGCATAAATCTAGCTGCTCTGAAGGGGCATTCCATGCATCCAATGAAACGAGCTCTGACTCACAAAAACAAGAATATATCTTCATCTTTAAAGCACTACTGGATTCTTCTTTTAGCTTCACAGATGTTCCCTGAGGCCATGTGGGATTTGTCTTAAAACCGAGTTCCCATTAACACCGCCAATCAAAACAGACCCCCTCCGCCTATCAGTTACTTCTACCTCCCCACCAAGTACTGTTGGGAATCCCCTACTTATTTCCCAGTAAGAGACACCACATAATAGGAAAACAACAAGGGGGGAGGAAGTACATGCAGCGGGCCCCACTCCCCTTTCTGTTTCCTTACTGTGTGGTGTTCATTTCCAGGAAATAAGCAAGCCATTCCCAACAGTACCTAGGGCTGCCAGCCTCCAGGTGAGACCCACAGCTCTCCAAGGATTACCACTCATCTCCAGACTAGAGATTAGGTCCCCGCTAAGAAATATCAACCCCAGGAGCAGATTCTACGGCATCACATCGCCACTGAGATCCCTCCCCTTTCCCCCAACTCCACCCCTCAAATGCCCAGGACTTTCCCATGCCAGGAGATGGCAACCCTAGTCAGCCTGCCACTCTCAACGGGAAACAATAGCCACAGCACAGCCCTCGGGGTGCCCCCCTCCCAGTGCAGCGCCTTCACCTGCGAAGGCTACCAGAGCAGGGGCTGCAACGACACGGGTGCTGAGCCTTGGTGGCGATCCATCGCAGGGTACGCAGGACTCCCGCTTTACATGCGGGCAGCGCGAAGCCTGAGTTTGGGGGATCCTACCCAGGTCGGACGCTGAAGGGGGAAGAGACACCACTGAGCACGTGAGGGAGGGAGCCCCTTCCTTTTCTCTTCCCCCCCCCTTTTATTTCGCAGGCGGCCGAAGCAGGAGAAGGAGGTTTCCTCCTATATCCCAACACGTCTTTCACACACCCTCCCCGCCCCGCGCGGTCCGCCCAACGGTCTTCTCTCACCGCGGTGTCTCACTCGCCTCCAGCGCTCCGTTCTCTTTCCCCACAAATGGCTGCCGACGCTAAAGCTGGGCCGAACGAAGCCCCGCGCGCCTCAAGCCCCGCCCCTTCAGCTTTTGGACTACACCATCGCGTATGAGGGAGGGGGGAAGTTTGAGTCCAGTGGCATCTTTTAAGACCAACAACGTTTTATTCAAGCTTTGAGGTTTCGTGTGCAAGCACACTTCCTCAGATACAATGAAATGGAAATTACTAGTCCATACATATAGGTAAGTTTGTTCTGCGGCTGAGGAGGAGGAGGAAACCGTGGACCCCTCCTCCCGCGTCTTGGGTTCGTCCGTTTTGTCAACCAATACAAAAAACGTTCCGATGCTTCTTTACTCCGCCTCCCTCCGCCGCGGCCCCAAAAGTCCGTTACGTCATTTAGCGTCTGTCGCCGACCGCCGCTGAGGGGAATCAAAGAAACGAGGTGACGCGACTGTTGCGTCACGCGCAGAGGGAAAGAAAGGTGGTGCGCCCTTAGGGTTTCGCGCGCTCTACCTCTCCGTGACGTAAACCGTGTCTAGCCAATCGCCTAACGGGAGAGGGGATTCCGCCTGCGTCGAAGGAGAAACGTTTGATTTCTGGCTGATGTTGGCCTTTTGGTGCATCCTTGCGGGATGCCTAAAAGGGAAGGGGGGGTTGTCATTAAATGTTCTGTCGGCACCAATTATGAATCCAAATAGGCATTTGGATCCTAGTCCAATTTTCGTACATCAGTATATTCCAATGATATCCGTTGCAATGCAACCCAATAGGCATTGTGACCAGGGCTCTAGTGGGGGGGGGGAGCTCTCAGGTACGGAGCTCCGGAAGAGAACCTCTAGGAGGCGGGGCGGTCACGTGGTGAAGCCCCGCCCCCTTCTTTACCCCGCCCTCTGCTTCGATCCTCATTCCGTTTGGGAATGAGGATGAAGCAGGAGGGTAAGTAGCCGGGCCTTCTGACACACTTCCGGTGATGTCAGGGTGTGTGGCCTTCTGTCACTTCCGGTGATGTCAGGGGGCGTGGCATATGCAAATAAGTTATGCTAATGAGTTATGCTAATGAGCTCCGGCAGCTCTTTTTCTACAACAAGACCCCTGATTGTGACCCTGATTTAGTCCAGGGGTCACAGGTATGTTGCATTCGTCCAGTTTGGCCTAGTGGTTAGAATGCTGAACTAGGATCTGAAAATACCAGGTTCAAATCCCCACTCTGCCATAGAAGCTTGCAGGGTGACCTTGAGGAAGTCACACACTCTCAACCTGACCTACCTCATGGGGTTGTTGGGGGACAAAATAGGAGATGGTAGACAGGCAAGGTACAAAATAAATAATATAATTATTTGTTGACTTAGGGCTTTCCAAGCAAAGACAGCTTCACTTTGGTTATGTAAACAAAGTATTTTTGTGGAACTTACTGTTGATGATGCAATAGCATTCAGGGAACAAAAGGGGGGCTTAACCCTGAAACCTGGGAACCAGAACCTAAAGAGGTAAGTCAAACAGAATAGAGGGTCAACAATAAAAACTTAATGTATATAATATTAAAAATACATGTATTATTACTTTTTACTAAAAACATATTGCCTTCCAATGACCAGAAGTAACAAAATAATTTTATTTATTAATCACTCTTTGAATTAATTTTCAATATTGTAGATTGCATTGGTTTATACATTTCTTTTTGTTCTGTCTCTGGCAAAAGAAATGTAAGTCAATAACCAAAGGCATGCAAAAAGAGACTTTGAGGAGTGAGTTGCTAAAAGCATCAAGACAAACAATAAACATTTTTAAAAATATCTCCAGAGCAGGAAACCAGCCAGAGGAGCAGTGAGGCCTTTGAAAGGAATGAAGGGATTGCTAAAGGAAGATGGGAGGCGATCCCGGACTTGGTCCTAAGTAATGCTCAGGACCTGGTGAGAGATGTAAACTTGATAGCATCAGTTGGGAACAGTGATCATAAATGACAGATGGTCAGTTCCCCCAAAAGCACTGTCCTGGGGGCACCTTCTTTGTGGTCTGTAACTCAGTCCCTGTAAATCCAATCCTCACCAAACTTGGAGGGCAGGTAGAGGAGAGTCAGCCGGAGAGCCCCTGTGACTGTGGAGTCTCTAGCTTGCACAGTATCTGTCCTACTGGGTCACAAACTGAACCAATTTGTTTGGCTGCTAAAACCTCATGACAGTTCATGGTTCGCAAACCAGGTACACCATGAACCAAACCGCGTTTTCCCTGTTCATCCCCATCCCTAGTCTTGGGCTGTGATTCTCTGTATTCTTGATCCTTGGGGGGCAATGGTGGGAGGGCTTCTGGAGTTCTGGCCCAGTTGGTGGACCTCCTGATGGCAACTGTGTTTTAGCCACTGTGTGATGTAGAGTGTTGGACTGAATGGACCATTGGCCTGATCCAGCATGGCTTCTCTTACGTTATTATATTTTCTTATTAGATGGCAGAGAAGCTCAATGACTTTTTTTGCTTCTTTGTTCACTGTGGAAACTATGGGGAATGCAGACCCGTAGCTATAGTGGGGCCTCCCAGGGCCCGCCCCCCCGACTTCCTCCCAAGGCCCCCCGGCTTTTGGGAATAAGCGGGAGGAAGGCCGTGTGCTCCTGCACTCTAAGCTGTGAGTTTGTGGCTTGAAGTGCAGGTGTGCATCCCCTGCTTCTCCCCCAAACCATTTAAAGCAATCCTCTAAATGCTTTGAGGGAGCAGTGGGTGGGTCTCAAGCCCTGTGGAGTCCACGGCCAGCAAGGCAGGGCTACCATCCCGCAGGAAAAGTGTCCTCCAGCGGAGCAAGCTGTCCTCTTCCAGGCCAGAAAAGAGGCGGCTGCTCGTTGTCCTGGCCCTGGAGGCCCAGCACGTGGCTTGCCTGCCCCCCCATCCACCACCAGCAGAGGTCCCGGAGAGGAGGCAGTCTGAGAAGAAAGCCCTCCGATGCCCCCAGGCCTGGGCTGGCTGTGAGCTTGTTGGCCTTTCCTTCCACCCACACAGGCTAAGCAGCAGGAGCACACACCCCTCCCCCGTGCCAACCGTGCCGAGTCTAATCTGCAGTCTTTGCCCGGGCCAGTCCCCACTACCTGGGGCTGCATTGGAAAGCCCGTCCATCACAAAGCAGCCCTGTGCCGCCAGCCAGGAACGGGGTGGGAGAGATCCACAGAGGGAGAGATCTATATCCAAGGCTGGGTTGTTGGTGCTGTGAGAATAAAAAAGGGCGAAGAGCAGGATGGGGGCCACTGTGAGTGCCCACGGGGGAGAAAGACAGGTGGGGTGCAAAGGAGGAGAAAAGAAGAAGAAGAGAAGAGAAGAAGAGATTGGATTTATACCCCGCCCTTCACTACCCAAAGGTGTCTCAGAGCGGCTTACAAACTCCTTCCCCTTCCCCTCCCCACAACAGACACCCTGTGAGGTGGGTGGGGCTGAGAGAACTCTGACACAAACTGCTCTTTTTCAAGGACAGCTGTGCCAGAGCTTGTGACTGACCCAAGGTCACATCAGCAGGTGCAAGTGGAGGAGTGGGGAATCAAACCCGGTTCTCCCAGATTAGAGTCCGCGCACTTAACCACTACACCAAACTGGCTCCCCAGCAACTAAATGGGAGTCCAGGAGTATTTGGAGTGCGGGTGCATGGCCCGCTTCTCCCCCTTTAAATGCTTTGAGGGAGATGGGGGGGGAGGCCACGAATTTCAGTGCCCCCTGACTTTTTAAAAGGTCCCCCTATTTAAAACATCCTGGCTTCGGGCCTGGGGGAATGTACCCATGCCACAGCCCCTATTTTCAAGAAAGGAGACTGAAGAACAGAGACAAATTGAGCTGACCAGAGATGAAATTCTAGACCTAATGGGGAAATTCAAAACCATTCACGTTCCTGGGATCCAAGATCACTGCAGACGGTGACTGCAGCCATGAAATTAAAAGACGCCTACTCCTTGGGAGGAAAGCGATGGCGAACCTAAACAGCATGATAAAAAGTAGAGACATCACCTTGCCAACAAAAGTCCGCATGGTCAAAGCAATGGTCTTCCCAGTAGTCATGTATGGCTGCGAGAGTTGGACTATAAGGAAGGCCGAGCACTGAAAAATAGATTCTTTTGACCTATGGTGCTGGAGAAGACTCTTGAGAGTCCCTTGGACTGCAAGAAGATCAAATCAGTCAATCCTAAAAGAAATCAACCCTGACTGTTCCATGGAAGGCCAGATAATGAAGGTAAAAGGTAAAGGTTCCCTTGCTCGAAAGCCAGTCGAATCCGACTCTAGGGTTGCAGTGCTCATCTCCGTTTCAAAGCCGAAGAGCCAGCGCTGTCCGAAGACGTTTCCGTGGTCATGTGGCCGGCATGACTAAACACCAAGCTGCACGGAACGCTGTTACCTTCCCACCGAAGTGGTACCTATTTATCTACTTGCAATTTCTTGCTTTCGAACTGCTAGGTTGGCAGGAGCTGGAACTAGAGATGGGAGCTCACTCCATCATGCGGCACCTGGATCTCGAACTGCTGAACTACTGACCTTCCACAGCCTGCAGTTCAGCGTCTTTACCACTTGAGCCACCGCAGCTCCCCAGATAATGAAACTGTAGCTCAAATACTTTGGCCACCAAATGAGAAGGGAGCACTCACTGGAGAAGACCCTGATGCTGGGAAAGATTGAAGGTCAAAGAAGACAGGGACGGCAAAGGATGAGATGGTTAGACAGTGTCATAGATGCAATGAACATGAAATTGAGCAAACTTCAGAGGATGACGTTAGACAGGAAGGCCTGGCGTGATCTGGTCCGTGGGGTCGCGAAGAGTCAGACTCGACTGTGCAACTGACAACAACAACAACAACAAATCAGTTACTCATCTTCTATTCATACATTTCTGAACAGACTTGAATGACCCATTATAAAGACTAAAAAAGCCTTGAATGGTCCATTATGTTTGGTTGACAACCAAAGTACTTATTTTCCGTTTAAGTGTTTCTTAGATTCATGGAAGGAAGACAGCAGCACCTCTCTCTTTTTTTTAAACACTTTTCACAGCAAGACAGAGTTTTCAAAAATATCTTCAACACAA